CCAAGTCAAGGGTTAAGATCCCCTTACCGGTCATCTTTTAAAAAAAAAAAAAAAAAACAGTTATTGAGCTTAACCTGTGCCTGGTTCAGTCCCCAGGGTTTCACAGATTTTATGAGAGTTAATTCTTACAACAAACTTGTGGGGAAACTGAGTCTCCAAGAGGTTGACTAACTTGTGTAAGTAGTAGAGCAGGTTTCAAACCCTGACCAGGCTACATCCAGAGCTCTGAGGGGGTTTCAGCTCTATAGTGTCACTCTCTGCTTCACAACAAGAATGCTTTGCAGGATGGGTGAGCAGATGAACAGATGAGTGAGTGAATGGGTAAAGGGGTGGGGACATGAGAACCAGCTTCCACGGAGAATTAGATGTCAGGATCCCAGGGATGGCCAGCTCTTTTCCACAGCTCTGCAGTTTCTGTGTGCAGTACACTTGCTCAGGCCTCTCTCAGGAGAGCCGCAGCTTCAGTGCCCCTGAGGCCACACTTTTCCACACCCTTTGCCTAAGGCTCTCTTTCCTGGCTCGACTCATCCCTTGCAAAATGCCCAGAGCTGAATGAGTCTAGGGTAAACCTGGCATGTAGGGTGTGGACCTTTAAGCAACCGAAGGAAACTGAGCTATTTCACCATGATGAAATATTCTGCAGCCATTAAAATGATAAATTTGACTGTGTAGAAATATGAAAAAGGGTTGGGAAATAGTTGCATATATCTGAAGATATTAATTAAAGCAATGTGCATTTACATGGATAAAAGTTGAAAGAGAATAGGAATGAAAACTGTAAAGGTGTTGGCATCAGATTGTGTCACCATCCAATTGATCTGTTATTCTCTACAGCCCCTGTTTCCTCTTCCCCCAGATTCAACCAGTCACAAACTCCTGTGGATTCTACATCAGTATGTATCTTAGTTCTGGTGCATGTTCTTCATCCCCACTACATTTCCTAGACCAGGCTCTCAGTATCTCTCATCTGGACCCCATAACAGACTCTTAACTGGTCTGCTGGACTCCATTCTCTCTCCAGCTGTAGTCTATATTGGACACTGTGGTCAGAGTGATCTTGACATAAAACATATCTGATTATGTCTCTCCCTTAGTTGGAAGCTTCTATTTACCTGTTACCTTCAGGAGGCAAGTTCAAATTCCTTAGCATGGCATGCAAGGTCTTTTACAATCTCACCCTCCATTCTTGCCCCCAGCCTGTCGAGAACTCTCCTCCCTTTGGCCCTGTGGCTTTTCTTCTTGGCCCATCCTCCTCCTTCAAGGCTAAGCTCAAAGGTCCCATCATCTGTGAAGCCTTCACAGCTGTCCCAGGGAGAGTCTGGTTC